ACAGATCCTCTGGACTTTTGTATTTATCTCAAAGCAAGCACAGAGTAAGCAGGGTGGTCTCATGTTTAGAGAACAGGACCACAATTAAGGAGACCCAGAATAAAAGCCACCTCACCTTAGAAACGTTTTACACAGGCTCCTAGTCCTTCCCCTTCTCATCAAACTTCTAGTGGCAAGTCACAGTTGTGCAGGTGAAGGGCAGTCAGAAATGATTTTTTACCTTAAGGTGCTCCAACAACACTACACCAATTAACATTTGTGTGGCTTACAGCGTAAGGTGTAACATGGCCCAAAGAGAAAAGGCCTTGTCTACATTTTCCATTTGTGAGCTTTTGTGGTTTATTTTACTGTTTTATCTTTATGCAGAAAATGATAAGTGATCTTCCATTTAAAGTTGAGAAATTAGCTGAGGAAGAGGAAATGGAAATCTCAAATTTTTTAAATAGCTATTTCAAAATTGAATTTTCATGTGACATTCTGTTCCATTAAGTGCCAGAACAGGAAATGGAAGTATAATTCATCTTAATTTTGAACTTTTATAACCTAGAGTATGTATTTTTACCACTTTTTTTATCTGATGCGTTGTTTATCTTTGCTGTATGAAAATGTCAAAAAAGTGGTATGACCTACATTTTTAATCTACTGGGGTTTTAAACACAGTACCACACATTATTTCATACCTTTAAAAGATTTTTGGGAGGTTTATCTTGTCTACCTTGGAAATAGTTATCAAATAGCTTTCTACAGTATTTATCTTGTTGCTTTACAGATAGTGTGTTATTCTTAAACAGTTGCATAAACACTTTCATTAGTTAATATGCCCTTGTTAAACCAAGCAGCCTTTTTTTGTTATGGTAGCTAAATGTTAGTGAGTACATGTGTTATGTGGCAGTATTGCTCTTTAAGATGAGCTCAGAGCTGTTCAGAGGATGGTGACTTCACTTTGTACTCACTTTTTAATGTTTAAGTGTTGGTTGCTTCATCCTGAAATGAAGTTCTCTTTCCCACACAGCTCTGAATCAGGCAGAGCAGGCTGGAACCTGGTTTTCCAGTGTCCTATGACATTGCCCTAACCCAAATCTATAGAATGTGACACTTTCTCCACATTTTTGGCCTGTTTCCTTCCCATCAACTCTGACAGAAGCTTTGCTGAAAATAGATGTATGATTGCAGAAGTGTTTTGGATTCTGTGAAATGAAATTTTGCAGAAAATCTTCAAATCAACAATGAATGAAGTATATGATGTGTCCTACTCTGCTCCTAGCATCTTGTTCACTTTTGAATTACATCCATGTCACAGTATGGCTAAGAGAAATATTTATTGCACAGAAATAGATGTAATCAGTTTTGCAAATAATTGATAAATAATAAAATTCAATTGTGCTTCAGTGGGTGATGTCACTGTTCCAGATAGAAAAATGTCCTCAGATTGTATTTGATTATGTTAATGCACATGGATACCAATGCACATAACTATTTTAGTATTTTACAATAAAGTATAAACTAGACATTACAATTCTGTGATTAAGTAGCAGATGGAAGAAATATTAGAAAGGAGCTCTTCACTATATTGCCACTTCCTTTATATGCAGAAAATTAATCAAACAGTATAGAAAGATTTCAAACTATGGGGAAAGAATTAAAAGTGTACCTTCTTAATATAGAAAATCCCATCTGCCATCACCTTTGGTGTTTTTCCTAAGTTCTTTACCCTGTAATAGTTTTATTTTACATGTTTACATGTATTTACATTACATTACATTAATGTATAAATAAATTCATTTATTTTATTTACTCAGACTGGTATCTTTCACATGTATATTATATACATGTGTCTAACTTTAATCAATACTTTATTTTGGTACATCCTTCTTCAGTATTAAAACTCTTTTTACAGAAGTTTTGATGTAAATAGCATGTACAATGTGGGTTTATAATCACCTGGATATAGGAGGCCATGATAACAACTTTATGGTTAAGGTGGCAGTTTTCTTTATAGTTACATCTATAAATCTTTTTTTTTTCCAAACAAGGAATACTGTGTGCGCATGAAATTTGCTTCTAGGAATATCTTAACAGAACAGTGGTGCTTTCAAACATACACGTACAGAACTGTAAAAAAATAAATAAATAAATGAAAATGAGAGTGAGAGAATGGACAGAGGTAGCATAGTAGGAAAATAAATGAAGTGTGCATAGCTCCCACTTACTGAAGGGCATAGACTATGCTTGCTGAGTGAACACAGAGAGACACTTGTGTTGCTGTTCGTGCTTCTCTGGCTCTCTCTGCTGCCACTCCAATAGGAGTTTGAGACCCACAGTATGAAATTATTTGGAAATGGAAATACAATTTTATCATTTAAAACTTTGATTGTATAGATTGAAAATTGACTGTAAAACATATTAAACAACCAGCATATCCAGCAAATAAAGTAAACGTCCAAATCCCTCAATTAAGCAGAGTATGCAAACAGTGGGTCCCACTGTGTTTTTAAGCTTTAACTCTCCTGATTTTCTGTCTTAGGCACGTTACAAATCTTGCTAAAGCAGAAGTGTGATGTGCGAATTGTATTAATTTTAGTGGCTGCAATCATATTTTATTGTGGAAGTTAGTTCTCAAAATATAGAAAATATATTGTTTCCTCAGCACATGTAACCTTTCCCCTCTTGTTGGTGTTTTAACATATTAAATTTTGAATGCCAGCTTAAGAAAAAATAGTTATATATGTCTTTGTGTATGTGTGTAAGAGAATAAAAAGAAATGTCAATAGAACATTTTAAAATCACATGGAATGTCTTGCATCTTATTGTCTTAGCATTTGAAAGGTCAGTGTTCCACACTGAGTCTTTAGGAGGTTTGTGGCAGGCTGGGAATTATTTATTTTCTCTTTCTGCTCTATCCCTTTTGTCATCTTGCATTCTAAATCTCAGGTATGCATCTTTCTATGCGTGTGGGAAATAATAATGTTACAGAAACATTAAAGAAAAACCTGAGAAATGAGAAAGTTGATTAAAACCTGATGGTATAGGTTTTTCATTGTTCAGAATTTTTTTACCCAAATATTAAGATAGACTTTTGGTGCTGGAGAGTTCACAGAACTTTTTTTATAGCAGAAATACAGGGTGCATTTGACAAAAAGTCAGAACTTAATGTATTATCTCAACATGTGCTAGATATTGCAGTTTTGCCAGAAACTATTACTACTATTAATTTAATATATTAAGAGACTAAAACCATGATGATGAAGGATCAAAATAATGAACAAAACAAAACAATCCTTGCTTTGTATTTATTGCAGTCAACTTCCTGATGATGTACTTTGGAATCATGGAATCAACATATATTGCTAGCCAGGTTTTTTTATTTTTATATTTTTGTCTGTTGATGCTGTTCACAGCTACAGTTGGCTCCTTAGAAACCATGTACTGGACAAATGTAAATAATGTAAATATAGGCTTTTTTATTTAGATGGGCTGGTAACTTGGATGCCACCTTTAGCCATTCCTATTCTGTTTACCTCTAGTCGCATCTTCAGCATTTTACATAGCATATAGTTCTTCACCACTTTCCCCTTTTGGGAGATGTCTTTTTCTTCCTTTAAACTAGCTCTGGCCATGTGTGCTGTATGCAATCCACGGAGGTCTCTGCCGTGAGCTGTACATGATGTGCGGCTAATTTGGGCACATGCTGAATATGGCATCCACACCAGATCAGCCCTGCATGCTGGATCTAGGGATGGTTCAGATCAGCACACCCATACTGCTACATGCTACACATGGAGCTGGTGCTGGTGCTGGCACTGGCTCCTGCTACACATGGTGCCCAGGGCTGGAGGACATACCATGCATGCTGCAAGCAGTATGCATGGCCAGTCTAGAGCATAGGCTGAATGTGATGTCTGCAAGTGGACCAGCCCAGTGGGCTGAATCCAGCATGTAGGGCTGGTCTGTGGGCCCAATCTAGCACACAGACCAGCCCATTGCCCAGGTTGGATAAGTTTGATTCCCCTACTTTAAACCTCTCTGGTGTTTTTCATTCACTTGCTGGCTGAAGAACCTCCTACAGGTTCTTCAACGGTCCTACAGTCCTGTGTAAATTGCAGCAGCAGTCTCTCCAGTCTGCCTTACGGCCTGCAGCACTACCCAGACTTTCCATAGCATGGATTTCTGCAGTTCAACTTGTGACATTCCCATCCTGCCCTAAGCTCTGACCTCAAAGTGATCTTCTGAGGACAGTGTTACAGCTTCTAGGCGAGTCATTTTTCTTACAGATACAAGCTTTCAGAGCTCTTTTACTTTGACTCTTTTACCCAGCATAAAGAAGTTGAGTGGGAGTGAGGATTTCAAGTACTCTAGCATTAACTCTGGACTACAGCTGTCATGCACAAACTTAATTCAGTTCAAGGGGTGCAGCAGATGCCATTGTTATATATATTTCCAAGCACTTCCTGGACAAAGTTAAGACTGTTAAACTGGAAACCCAGAGCAAAGTGGAAACAGTACTGCAGGTGATTAAGTTCCTAGCTCCCAGTGTTCTTCAAAGACACAAGAGTTGTGTATGTCTTAGGGTGCATCCAACAGTGGCACAACAGGGACTCTGGTGATTCTGGTGACTAGCTTTGGCCAATCTTGTTTTTCCCATCTGCTTTCAAAACTAGTAAAACTGCCAAACCATAGCCCTGCACATGTATGCCTAAATTTGTCTGTCACGGGGATTCTCATTGTTTGTTTCTAAATACCTATGTGTTGGTCTAAATACCTACAGTGGTGTATAGCGGGGATGGTAGGTCTTCAGGACCTCCATTCTTCCATACTCTTGCCTTAGGCATATGCATCAAAAGACTTGGTATGATGGACTCCATGCAAGCAGATTCATCAGGCACCTGAATAGAACTCTTATGGGTACACCATGATCCAGAGGATCGACAATTGCCTAAATGTTGACTGTAAGTTTGTAGCAGATGATGCAATTGTTTAAAAATATTGTGTTTTTGTTATAGGAAATATTCAAGAAGTCATATTACAAGAACACTTGGAGAAAGAAGATGAAATTCTGGTATCCCTGGCTGGTTTGAAGCAGGTACAGATACAAACTGAATTAAGTTGCTCACATTTTTTTTTTTTTAATGGTCATGAAACCATTTTTCAATTCTGCATTTCTTCTATCATAAAGCTATCCCTTGATTTGCAAATGGTAATGTGTGAAGTTTTGTTAAGCATTGTTTTCTGAAGAGTGATATTGAGTTTCCAGGAAGTCTGTGAGGACTTGGAAGTGAAACTGGTGTAGCCTGATGTAGCCTGACCCACAGTTCTGGGCTTCATCTACCCACTATACTATCATTCTTCTCAGTGCCTAGCATATGTTGTATTCAATATTCATTTTTTTCGCATTACAAAAATAAAATATTACAGTCTTTTTCTTTTTTTTAAAAAAAAAGTACTGTATGCTTGTCTTAAGACAGGGGGTGCACGTGTCTCTTAACATGATTTCTCTGAATACATAATACTCTGTGTTGGCTTTGAAATGCATTTCATTAGAAATACCATGATGTATGTTAATTATGTAAGTACAGCATCAAGGAGAATATAATTAGTTTATTCTTTTTAAGTCTCTTGGGTACTTTCTGCTTTTTTGCAGTTTCCAGTAGAAGCACATTTCACTGGTGCCTTTTTTTAAGTTATTGCTAGTGGTAACTTTAATGCAATTTTCTTCAGAAAACGTATAAAACCATTTACAGTAAAAGCTCTTTTATCTGGCATCCATGGGAAATGGTAGGTGCTGGTTAATCAAATGTCCCGGTTATCTGAGAGTTACACTTCTCCAGCCCGGTAGGTTGGAGGCGTCTTTGCCTGCTCGGGCCACTTCCGTGTCCAGTGCACCAGGGCTTTCACTCTCTCGTGTCGGTGTGCCGGGGGCCAGGGAGGGGGACTTTTGCTTTTGCCACATCGATCGGCATGCCAGTTAATAGAGCATTCCAGATGGTAAAGTGCCAGATAACACAGCTTTTACTGTACAAAGAAAATAGTTCATGGATGTTGGTTAGCAGCTTTTGGTATGTTTGACTAAATTTCAGATATTTTAGAATTCTATTTTTCCCTTCCTCTTCAACAAATAGATCAAGGATATTCTGAAGGGTTCTCTACGTTTCAATCAGAGTCAGCTGGAGGCTGAAGAAAATGAGCAGATCACGATAGCAGATGATCATTACTGTTCTTTGAGTCAAAACAAGGAGACAGGGGATTCCCTAAAAGGACCTGTTTTGATGAAGCCACGCTCGCTCTCAGCATGTCAGGTAAGGGGACAACCACATCATCCAAGTTACTGGTAGAATGAGCCAGTAATTTTCTGAAAACATTAATTCATCAAAACCAAAGCACTTCATGAAAACCTCTTAGTCTCCCCTAACTTTCACTGAAATGGAGCCAGGGTCCATCAGAAACTTACCTGGTTTCCTGACAGCTCACATGGAGGGAAGCTTGAGAGCCTTGGCTTCCTAGAATCTCATCATATGAACTGTCCCAAGGTCAGGTATCACAGGGCTTCTAAACCTCCTCCCACCAGGGACCTGACACCTTGAGACCCACAGTTTTCCAGCTCCAGGACAGTTTAATTTTAGATTTTTTTACAAGGTGAAAATATAGCATATAAATTGGGGGGGACCCTCATTTGCATTAGTCTTCCCCTGGTGTAAATGTGCAAGAAGATGCTTTTTCAGCCCATCTCTTGTTTGTCCTTTTTCTTGTTTGTCTGTTTCCTTCTTCCTCTGCTATTGGAGATTCTGTTCTGATAGATCACATCTCACTCTGATAAAGGTGCAATTCTCTGTGCTGCCTTTATGACAATAGAAGATTTTTAGTTATTAAATGATGGCATATGGATGGTTGTCCATGCACAAACCTGCTCCCACAGAAGCCAGTTGCAAAACTCCTGTTGACTTCCTTGGTGCAGAAATGGGTCTGTCATGCACAGCTAAATCAAGTGCAGTTGTTGTAAGCTTGTTGCCAAATAAACTATTTTCTAGACTGTTTTTCAATAAGTTTTTTTACATAAAAAGTTTGGAAATATATTGTAGAGAAAGGTGTTATTGATGCTGGGAATTTATAAACAAAGGCAATCATTTCCATAGTGATTGACACTTTTTATGCCACTGTCCCCTAAAATGCCATTTTCTAGCAACTGGATTATCTGTATTGCCCAGTGTATCTATTTTTTTTTCTCATTTCATGGTGAGATTAGCAGCAGTTGTGATAGATCCATTCAATTCATCCTCCATTAGAAAGGAGCCTATGATCTTATGAGCAATCATTTTATATATGTAGATAATTTCCAGTAGTAGCACATCAGCAGACTTCTGGACTTAAATCTGCCACAGTTCAACATCGATGTTGTTGATGTCAACAACCCAGGGATATCAAGACCAGCATTGCCACTCCCATAGCCCAGAAGAGTCTCCACTCAGTTTTCTATAACAACTTCTTGAATCAACTTGGGGCTGCCAAAGGAGTACATGAGAACAAATAGAAAAACAGAGTTTGTCTTAAACTATTAAAGTAAGATGCTGTGACTTATGACCCAGAAATCTCTTGCTAGTAACATGCCCTGTTAAAAATCATAATAAAAATGAAAGTACCTGTTATTTTATTTAGATACAAAGGTACAAATGTTAGTCAGCACTGCCATAACCATTGTTATTACAACTAATCTCTTCAATCATATCAGAGGCCTTAGTCAAACTTCAGTGCTATCGATCCTGTTATTTTACCATATCTCCTCACTTTTTACATAAAAACATTTTAGCTTTAGTATTAAAATGTCAAAAATGTTTTTACTTATTGTTGATCATTAATTTTGATTTACTGTGCACACTATAACATGCAGTATAAGGCCCCTGGCGCACACCTGCTTAAAAGTATGGTGGGATCTTTTTTCCAATTCCAACAATTACACCTCCTGCCACATGTATGACAGGACATTCAATTTTGGGACTGGGGATCAGATACCATTACTACTTGCCAATGCAGAGGGAGCCCTGGATCAGGATGCCCCTGGACAAGCATGTTGGAAGATAAGTGTCTGCAGGTCCTGGCCAGCTCAGGTGCAGTCAGGGGCTGGAGCTGACAATCAGCTTATTGTTCATGCTCACACTGGGGGTGCACTTTGAGACACTGGTGCAGTCTCTAGCGGAAGCTGACAGTCACCTGATTTTTCAGCCCTGGACCTGCTACGTATTCTGTTTAAGGCCACGTATAAAACCAGCTACAGCAATATTCTACATTATGGCCATGTCTATGTGAGATGCTGACTACACGGTTGTTACTTCGCAGTCATTTAGTACTTGCCTACACAAGTACTAAATGAGTGTACAGTAACCGGAGTTACTGCACAGTGATGTGCCTGAATGGCTTTTTGGTGACACTGACTGTGTTGCATCGCGCTTCATGCCATGCAGTGCTACTGCACAGTAGTAACAAGCTACTGTGCTGCAGTAACGAGCTACGGCGTAGTCAGTGTCTCGTATAGACATGGCCACTACGTAGAATGTTTTTATGGCTGGTTTGTCTTAATTACAGTGTAAATGTAATATGTAGAGGGGACCCAATACAAAATAATAACACATTTTTCTGACTTTACTCATGCTGATAAGGAACGTACATTTTGGAATCAATGGAATTGTTCATGTGAGTAACTGCCCACAATGTAAGGGTTGAGCAATCTGAACTTGAGCAAGGCTTTCAGCTCTAAATGGTACATGTCTGACAGTACAGAACATTTATTCTCATTAGCACTCTCTCATCTTATCTTCTGGAAGCTCCAATTACAGCATGGAACACTAGCTTATTACAGTAGCAAAAAATAAGAAATTAGGTTTTGCAATGTTCATTGTTGGGAAGTAGTGTTGCAGTAAAGGAGAAATGTTAATATCCTAGCCCCCTTTCTAACTGTATTGTGGTTAGCTTTAGCATGTAAAATCAGATAAAAAGAGAGGAACTTCTGACCCCTTTTAATAAAAATTAAACAGGTAAAAACTGCTAAGCTTATTAGCCCGTGAAATGAGTGGGGGGGGGGTTCTTCCCCCAAATAGAACTACAGCCCAGCCTTTTAGTTTTAATGAGTGAACTGTGGTGTGATGATGCCTCCAGGTCAAGCCTAGGAACAATTTCTGAATGCAGCAGAAGGTTGAAAAAGCTCTAACCATTAATTAATTAGAACACTGGACTCCTTTAGTTTCTATCTTATTTAATGCATTTCCTGCAAGATAATTTTTCCTGTTTTGTGGGGTTTTTCATACTGCAATAATAAGTATAATTCTGTTCAATAAAAGCTTTTTATGGTTGCTGACTCTACTCTCAGAGCAAACATATTTGCATTCCTAGAGCAAATGCAAGCGTTTTGGACCCAAATCTCTTTTTGTTGCCACAGGCTTCAGGCCAGTGGAGTTACTGCTGTCTTGGATTTACTACTGATTTACTCTGGTATAAATGAGTAGTCTGCTCCTTTTATCTTGGTCCTTGAATATATTATAAATACAAATAATTTTTCACTGCATCATTAATAAGAAAAGGAACCTTATTTTTTTCTTTCTGTGCCTCAGTTTCCCCACTGGTAAAACAGGAATAATAATACCAATACCCTTAATAAAGTGGCTTCAGTCCTAAGGATTAAGTGTACCACATAAATGCTAGTTATTTTTATTTACAAACACACACACGCTCTCTCTCTCTCTCTCCCTCCACTACATATATTTTGGGATGGTAGCACACTGATGTGCTGCAGTAATATTTTATTTAAAAAATATGTATTTAACAAAGAATGTTTTTAATTCTTTTTTTATTTCTTGATGCAGTTGAATAAAAAAGGTTCAAATGAGCTGGATAATATTCACTAGAATATTTGCCATTAGTAGCAATGCACAGTTGATAAACAGAAGCCAAGCCTTGCTAAATAATGAATGATAATTAACACATTAGCTTGCTTTTATGACTATCTCAAGAAGGGAGCAAAATGAGCTTCTGTTCTTCCTCCAGCCTTACTTAAATTGTGTTCTGATCGTTAGCTTTAGTTTTTTCACAGCATGTAGGCACTGATACTCGTAGCTGATATTCATCAGAAGAAAGTTTGGAGGAACCATACGGCACTGGGCATTAGGCTGTTAAGTTTCAAAACTACTAAAAGTATATTTCTGCCATTTTTTATTTATTCAGTAATGGAGGCAGATGGGAGAAAACATGGTTCATGTTAAGACAGGTTTCTTGAAACAGAAACAGGCAAAGTAAAGGGGTTATGTGGGGGCCATATTTTACCTCTGGAAACTAGTATGTTCTAAAGACAGACATTTAGGTCCCTTCTACAGGTTACATGCATCACAAAATTACCAAGTTAATTGCACAATTAATTTAGACTGGCTACACATGTCAATTAACAATCGCGCCATAAGAAGGTCCAACCAGCTATAAAGTTATTGGTGGAAAACGTGTACTTACTTTATAGCCAGTTTCTATCCAGCTTTAATTTGCACTTGTAGCAAGGTCTGCCCCTGCAGCTAGGAGCCCCATCAACTGACCAGGCTCCCAGCCACAGAGGTGTACCACGCGCTGCCAGGACCAGGAGTCCCACAGCTAAGGAGAGTCTTGCCCTGGCAGTGCCCAGCAGCTGCAGACTTGGGGTTCCAACAGTGCTCCATGGCTGCCCGCAGCTAAAAATACTGTCGCAGCAGTACCCTGTGGCTGTTGGGACCCAGTGACAACAGCTATGAGACTCAGCAGACATGGGGCTCTGTTGCGATCGTCCCCCACCCTGCAGCTGGGAAATTGTAGTAGCTGTGGTTTGGGAGATCACAGCAGCTACAACATCCCAGCCCAAGAGGTGCATGGGTTGCCCCCCTGGCTAGAAGCCCCATCAGCTGAGAGGCTCCCAGGCACAGGAGCTTGTTTTATTGCCAGTGCAGGGGGCGCCAGGACTGGGTTCCCCCTGCACTGGAAGTAAGGCATGATGGGAGCTAATCCTCAATTCCACAGTCATGCCTCCTGCCATGCATATGCGAGTATGGCAGGAGGCACAATTCTTCACATTGCGCATTAGATCCCATCATGCCTTATTGGTAGTGCATTACGCATTAGATCCCATCACACAGATGTAGAGGATCCCTTATACCATCAGAACCTTTATATCATATTATTGTCACAACCCAAGGGTGTGATTTTGTGTGTGCGCGCTTCGGCACTGCTAAATTATTTCCCGCCACAAGGATCTTTCTTTGCAGGGTGCATTTCTCAGTTGCAAAGAGAAAACCCC